AAGGTTTCATTGTCCCCGGACAAGAAAGAAAGGTTTGTCGCTTAGTAAAATCTCTTTATGGGTTAAAACAAGCCCCCAAACAATGGCATGATAAATTTGACAGTGTAATGCTATCAAATGGATTTAAGATCAACGAGGCTGACAAGTGCGTGTACGTGAAAGGCAATCAAAATGACTACGTCATAGTGTGTCTATACGTAGATGATATGCTCATTTTTGGCAGTAACAGTAATTTGATAAAGGCTACCAAAAGTATGTTGGCCAGGAGATTTGAAATGAAGGATCTCGGTGTTGCTGATGTGATTCTAGGAATTAAAATCATCAGAACACCTGAAGGGTTGATATTATCTCAATCACACTACATTGAGAAAATGCTTGAGAGATTCAAGAAGTATGATATCAAACCCATGAGAACTCCTTTTGATTCCAGTGTTCACCTCAATAAAAACAGAGGAGAAAGTGTGTCACAAGATGACTATCCTCGGGTCATAGGATGTTTAACATATGTCATGAATGGAACACGACCCGATATAGCTCAAGCTGTGAATAAGCTAAGCCGGTTTTCTGTAAATCCCGGTAGAGAACACTGGAAAGCACTTATAAGGCTGCTTGGGTATTTGATGTACACCAAAGACTATGGTTTACATTTTCAAAAATATCCAGCCGTGCTAGAGGGATATACCGATGCAAATTGGATATCCGATTCCAAGGATACAAAATCAACAAGTGGATATGTGTTTACCCTTGGAAGTGGTGCTGTGTCGTGGAAATCTTCCAAACAAACATGTATTGCAAGATCTACCATGGAAGCTGAATTCATTGCCTTAGATAAGGCTGGAGAAGAAGCTGAATGGTTGAGAGAGTTTTTGGAAGATCTTCCTTGTTGGGAAAAGCCTGTCCCTCCAATATCCATTCATTGTGATAGTCAAGCTGCAATTGGAAGGGCAAGGAATGCAGTTTATAATGGTAAGTCTAGACACATCCGTCGTAGACATAATACCGTTAGAAAACTAATTAAAAATGGGATCATCTCTCTTGACTATGTTAAGTCGAAAGAAAATATTGCGGATCCGCTAACCAAACCTCTACCGAGAGAGTTGGTCGAAACGTCAAGGAGAGCGATGGGCCTACAGCCAATGATCCAATAAAAGTCCATGGGGAAACCCTACCTATTATTGAGAATGCCTCATAATTAGGTTCAAAGGGAAAACACAACTGTGGACTGGCTCGGGCGGTACTAGCCAAGATATAGTACACTCATGCCATGAGCATTTAGGGTAAGTTACGCTTTTAATGATCTCTATATCTTGATACGTTCAAGTAAGGTATGGCATGATACCTTCCATAGAGATCACCTATGCTGGTGGAAGAAGGCCGCTTCTATGAGAGTCTATGGCACGAGATAAATTCTCCGGTGCACGATATACTCTCGAAAACACTAGCTGAACCAGGAGGTGTTCAAGGCCGAAATGAACACAAACGTGAGAACCAAAGATGCACTCGGGGCTCTGTGTGTTATTCATTGTCTAGGTTTACACTATGGCTGACGGTTCAAAGCAAAGTGCTACCGATTGTCCAGTAAATCCGATGGATATACACTAAGGTAGGTTCAAAGTTTCACGACTACCTAACCCTATGCAGAGTTCCCATCTTCCCATGTCAAATTCCAATATGTTTCCTGTCTTTAAGCCAATTTCTCATTCATGTGGGGGGATTGTTGGAAAAATGGTTTTACAAATTAATATTATGGTCATTAATATTATTTGTAAAAATCATTTTGAAATGAATGAGAAATTATTCCCCGAAAGATAAGCGTGAAACTATACTTAACACGCATACACTGCCGCCGTCAGTCGGTCGGGTTCGGGTCTTTGACGAGTCAACAATCGGGCTTAAGATAGGAAGATTTAATTTTGCTACGTTTTCGGATAAAACCAAATTAAAGACACAACCATTCGTTTTAAAAGAAAGGTCATGAACTTTCTTTTAAAAGGTGTCTTTTGGGTTAAGAGACTCCTGGCCAGAGTTCTATAAATACCCGCAATGTCTTCAATTTTGGAATATCCGAAAAATCAACAACAATCCTCCATATTCGATCTCTTCCTTTCGTTGCATCTTTGAGTTCGCCGGGATCCCGTTGGGAGCGAAGAACCGTTCTATCCTGGGAGACGATTGCTACGTGCGTCGGGCAAAAACGTCTTAAGGAAACAACGTTTACGTTGGGCTCGGTTACAAGTATTCTTACGTTTTTCCTTAATTATTTATTTGTTATTTCATTTACATGCAGATTATTGTCTATACATATAACAATATATACGGAGTACTATCTATTTAATATATATCTAAAAAAACACATGCGCTGCACTTTTATACGCAAGTTGGAGTTTTCAACTTTTGAAGAACCGGAAATCGGAGATGTTATCATGCGAAAAAGTAGTTTCTTTATAGCCCAAAATGCTGAGTCAGCCTGTTCAATAGACCTGCTGAAAATAGACGGGGTAGCGGACGGTGTGTATTTTTTTCGTTGCCAACTCAGCATGACAGTAAAAATCAACCGTTCCATTGGAGAAGATTTTTCTATCACAATAGCTATTTAATCAACGTGGCAATGCATTTTAACCAACCGAGGATCCCACTAAAGATGCTCTAAGGGGGGCGGTGGGAGTACTATACAGTATATATAACGGGTCGGGCCAGGTACCCGGTATTTTTTTATTTTGGAATCGGCCCGGGTCTTATAAAAATTACCCGGTCCTACCCAGATCATTTTCTTGCAACAAAAAATTAGAACTGATCCGTTTTGGACCCGAACCGTCATTACTCGAACCGGACCGCGGTTCCAAGACCCGTTTGCCCACCTCTACTTAAAACCACTCCTATAGTGTGTGAACAAATACTTAGAACCTAGGTATACAATATCTATGTATATCCAATACTTATTTAATAAGTATGTAATAGTACAATGTTTTCACTTAAAATACTTTCAAAGGACGATATAATTAAATACATTTGAACAATTTTAAATATTCAAATCAAATTATACTAGACTTAGACAATGCTCAAAATAACAAAAAATCAAACTTAAATCATGTTTGAACGGGGTTTATCAACCATTTTTTGATCGGTTTGGCTAAACCGCTAAATGTAGGTGGTTTGAATAGTTGACCCACTAAATAATATGTTTGGTGTATTACGTAACGTAATACATTATGTAATACATTAGTTCCTATTTACTTTTGCAGGTTAACCTTTTCTTTTCCTTTTTGTCTATTTGTCTTTTCATTTTACTTTACACCTATTGACTAATAAATGAATGTGAATAAATAAAATTTAGTTGTTAACTAAAAATAAAAAATAAAATTTAGTTGTTAACTAAAAAAAAATATACTCCGTGTATATTAAGTTAACAACAAATTAATCAATAAACAATTAATACTGCATCCTACCAATAAATATATATTCATGTCCTCAAGTCAATTCGCATGGTATCAGCTAAACATGAAGCGGAGCTTGTCATCCGAGTTGTTACTATACTATGGGCCGATCATACAAGTTAAATAATCAACTATCTACTAGACTATTACTCCATTCTTCTCACTAAGATTTTTCATTTTTTCCCCTGGGTTCCTGGAAAATGTAACTAATATTGTCTCATATTAAATTTGATAAAAAAATTTTGGTTCTAAATCATTTATACTTTATTCTTACTTTATTAATTCAATATCAATCATAAACTCATTTTTCCTAATAATGTCATCTTCTCAAGTTCCAATATTAGTGGGACGAATGTAGTATAAGTTAACAACTAATTACCAAACATAGCCTTAAACTATCTACATCGGGTCAAACCAAATTATGCTAAGTATTAGAAATTTATAATCCAAGTGAAAACAACACAATAATCATTAATACATATGCTTAGAGCTGCACATCAGGCGGGTTGACTATACTTTTTGGACCTACATGTGATACTCGGGCCAGGGGCGGACGATAGTTGGGAGATTCTATTTACAGCCCCTCTTTTACTAATCACACACACATAATTTTTATAATTCCTATCATGCCCCTTGAGATTCTATTTACAGCCTTCAACCTTGCGTCGAGGAAATCTGCGCAGCACTGCAGCAGACCAGCATTCGTCGACTCCATCTCCGATTCTTCATGACTCCGCAGGACTCCGGTTCACCAGCAGCGCTCCAGCACCGCACGCCAGCAGTCCAGTCCAGCTGTCCACTGTCCAGAAGACCAGGACTCCACATTCCAGGCGCTCCAGCAACAAACGCCAGTCTCAATTGAGTGAAGAAGGCTTCTTCCTCTTTTTTCTGAAAACTAATATTCACAGATACAATATTATCTTAAGCACAAAATGAACCCTCAATTTAGAACAATCAGATACAATTCGAAGGGGATTTCTTTTGAAAAAGTGCCTTAAAGAAGAAATCATCAACTGCTTGTACATACTAAGACGTACAAGTATTACAGTACAAAAGAAAGCTAAGGAAGAACAAAAATTAATTCAGAAGGAAATTGATATATCAAGCAAGTGCTGTATTGTAGCAATAACATCAGCTTTATATATGTTCAGCAAACTTCTTGTAACCTCAGTTCATTGGCCATTGTACGGATATGGGTAGCATTTATCGTAGCAGATATTGAGGCCATGGCCGATTGAACACGCAAAGGCTTTTATTGTTTGAAAACAATTTGCTGAAAACAATTTCGATGGCTGATTAGCTGTCGGTCGGTCGAAGAAAACACGCGAAGGCTTTCAATGGCCGATTAGCTGTCGGTCGAAGAAAACAATCTTACGGTTTGCGGTCAAAGAGCATTGCTTTGATAATAGTGGAGGGTAATTTGGATACTTCGTTTATTTCGTGGCTGTGATTAGTAAATTGCGGGCTGTGAATAGAATTACCCACGATAGTTAGGGCAGGAATGAGCTCCAGGGTCCAGCCCAACCCATTTTTTTTGTAGTATCGCTATGAGTTAATTATCGGCCCACCCCAAAATCATCAACGGAAAGTTGTGCGAAGAAGACGCGACGAACAGGCACAGCAGACCACCAGCCCGCCGTCGTCCGCTGTCCACTTCGGCTCTCCGCTCTCTGCCTGTTCGAATCCGGTTCTTTCTGATCGCCTGGGCTCTGCGGCCTCTGCCTCCAGCTCCACTGCAGGTATGCTCTAAGCCTCTAACTCTAACACTCTTTTAGATTTTTAATCTATTATTTTGTGAATTTGTGTTACCACGGCGTTTCCCGATGTTCCCACGGCGTTTTCGGACGTTTCTCGTTTCTGAAACGTTTCCGAAACAAAGGCCGGGAATAGAATGATGTTTCCGTGCTTCCTAGATTAGACATGCTTTGTGTTTTCTGAACTCTTAATCCTTTGTTGAAGTTGTGAGTTTATTTAATTTGAGTTTTTTACTTCAGGTTGTTCTCATATACCGTAGAGGTTTATTTTTATACAATTTTGACTAAGGGGTGTTTAGAAGTGATTCTCATTCTGCTTCTTTTTTAAACCAGAAGCATAATCAGTTTAGAAGTTGGCCAACCACATCTTCTAAAAAACAGATTCTAGGAGTAAATTTGAGTACCAGAATCACTTCTACACTTTCATCCAAACACTCCGGCTTCTACTTCTTAGGAGCAGAAGCAGTTTTAATAATCAGATCCAAACACCCCTTAAGCTAGTTTGATATAAATCTGTTATCTTGACCTTCAAAAGTAGTTATGCACTTTAATTTTGTTCATATCTGTCTCTCTAATCAAAGTATCAAACTACAAATTGTAAAAATAAACTGTGATGTGTTGTGGCATTGAAAAGAATGCCAGTAAAGCATTTTTTGACTCTTTACTTTCGTCCATAAAATAAGTGCATTCAACTGGGAACCCTTAAGCTCCATGGCATAGTTAAAAATGCTACCACATAGCTCTAGGGCAATCGAACGTTGGTGTCTATTTTACTGTCGGTTTTACATACTTCTTAATTTATTATTGTGCAATATTAATTTAAGAATATTTTCAGAGATAAATTTACCTGTTATTGGGCGAGTTGTTCTTGTTGACTTGAAACCTAGAACCTCTTTACTAGGCACTAACATATCTATTTCAAGATTTTTATTATGAATTGAACTTAAATGCATGCCTTGTTTATTATTTTCTTAAGCTTGGATTTTTTGTAATATTTGCACGTTGGATGTGTGGAATCGTTATATCTTTGACAAAAATATTACTTTTAATGATATGAACTTTATGAACTTTGAATATTTTTCATATTTCCTTCATTGTCACATACCACGAACTTCAAGCCAGATGGATCTGTCACCTTCGAAACAACAAATACAAAGTAAGAGACATTCTTGCACTTGCTAAAATAAAGGATTCCTTATATTAGATCTATCGGCTGCCTTAGGAAACAATACAAATAATAGGTTACATTTATTAAAATACAAGACTAATGCAGAAAGAAGTAACAGGTCACCTACTCACTACTTTTTATAATCTTCCCAGGTACACTACATACATGGAAACAGATGAATTTTGTAATAATCATCAATATTGTGAAATACACAATTAAAACCAACTAGCCGACCCCAATATCTTTTGGGACTAAGGATTGGATGTTGTTGTTGTACACAATAAACACCAACAATCATCAGTATAAATAAAGTTGGAGATGTAGTAGATATTCTTATATCATCTTTCTGTTAACATAACTTTGTATTGTGTATTTGTGTGATGAATTGAGAACTATGGCAGTGACTCCTGTTTTTTTTTTCTTCCACCCTTATCATTTCCCCCTTTTAAATTATTTTCAATTTAAATGAAGGTATTGTTTTTGAATACTGCTTATTTATTATATTAAACAATACTTCATTTAATAGAATCAGCATCCACGAATCTGCAATGTTTCACATATTGTCCTCAACTAAGTAGAGCACTAAACAACATCCAATATAAGCTTAGAGAATACCACATTGCAAGATGGCGTGAAGTAAGCTTAGTTGAGGCTTAAATTTCCAGCGTGCTTATATGACTAGCACCCACATTAATTTTTTGCTCCATTTCCAGTTTTTGATGTTCTTATGTATTTAAAAGATACAATCTCATCACAATGAACATCCTCAGGAACTACAAACCAAATGAGTTTTTGATATTAACTGACATGTTAAAGAAGGGAGGAAGGACTTAATAGCAATAAATGCTTAGGTAACATTTTATTTTTTTGAAATAACATCAAACAACTTACTCTTCTCAGTGCATGTAAGTTCTTAGACGTTGGCTTATGGTTTAATCATATAAGAACAAATGATTTAATTTTTATACACCATTACACCTCCTGTTGTAAATTTAGTGACAAAAGTAGGAATCAAAGGAATGGACTTTAAAGGAAAATTTTCAGAGCATCAAAATTAAGGTTCTGCATTTTGTTTATTAGGAATTAAGACCAAACCAAATTTAAAACTACATTTTTAAAATGGTTCTTCTAAATTGTTACCAGAATTGAGCCAATCCTAGGATAGGGCGGGCACATACTACCCTCCCTGCCACCTTAGGGCGACCCCATCGATCGTCTACTCGATAAATCAATCAATGGGTTGAAAGGAATAATATTGGGCTATTTTTTTTAAAGGAATAATATTGGGCTATTTGAACTGCATTCGAGCCTTACATTACATTCTACCTTTAGTTCTAATAATTTCTGCTTCAAAAATCCTAGCACAAGATTCCCTACCGCAGTCATGGATAATTCACCGATCTTCCATTTGATACAGGTTTTAGTGTAATTATCTGGAACCGCAGAAGGGTGAAGGTTTTAGGGTTTAGACAGTTCTGCACGCTACTGAACACTCTGCCATGGGAAAAGCTAAGAAGTCCCCCAAATTCGCCGTTGTGAAGAAGATAATTTCTCAAAAAACGATAAAACAGTTACCCCTCTGTCTCTCTTAATATTGTATATTAATCATTAAAATGTGATTTTAGTTATTTTTTCTCACGATTTTTAAAATTGCTGTCAGGTATAAAGAAGATGTGTTGAACCCGAATAAGAAAGATTTGAGCAAGAAGAAGCTTCCACCTAATGTGTAAGGATTTTGATTCCTCATATCGTCATAGATATAATGATATGATTGAGAATTAATTTGTTATTTGCTGCAGGCCTTATATTTCTTCTGCCCTTTTCTTCGAGTATAACACTGCATTGGGGCCCCCATATAGAGTGTTGGTGGATACCAACTTCATAAATTTCTCAATTCAAAATAAAGTGAGACTTCAAATTTTGTTATTTGTTGTCAATACTGCTGATTTGGTCATATGAATATTGTTTTGGACGTTACTACCCTGTGCTATAGTTCAACATGAATATTTCGCTCAATTGACTTTTCTATGAAAACTAAAAAGTATAAAGTAGTAAAATACTACTAGTGATGAAAATCTTACAGCTTTAAATAGAATTCACTTTTATGGGGAGCTGACATATATAAATTTCTCTTTCAGTTGGATTTGGAGAAAGGGATGATGGATTGTTTGTTCGCCAAATGTAAGTAACTGCTGCATTTGTTGTGATGCTAAGAATAGTTTCTACTGTGTGCTTGGTTGTTGCATTGTTCACGAGATCTTTCTGAGTGAAATCACTCTGTACATAGTTTTACTGTGCTAGCTATGAGTAACAGAACTGTAATAGTGTTCTCATGTGGACTCATAATATGGGAACTTAAGCTCGTTTTTTCATTGGATTTTTCCCCTTTAGGCACTCCTTGCATTACGGATTGTGTGATGGCTGAGCTTGAGAAGCTAGGTCAAAAATACCGTGTTGCCCTCAGGTATATGGTCAGTTTCTTTTAGAATTCAATTCACGAGCTTATATTTTGTCGGTGAGTATTATAATACTACTTAACTAAAAGGGACAATAAGAATAATACTTCAAAATTCAGGTAACAGGGAATCAAAGAATACTTGTTCTGATTTCTAACCATCAAAATTAATTCCATACTAATGAGAGATGTATTGTTACAAAGTGGTACTCTTGTTGTTATCATGTGCTAAATGTCTTCTGTCGTTCCTGTACTGTGTTATTTCTTTTGACACAATAGAATTGCGAAGGACCCTCGGTTTGAAAGGCTTCCTTGTATTCATAAAGGGACTTATGCTGATGATTGTCTTGTTGACAGGGTTACTCAGGTTAATATTCCCCCTACTTTTTCCTTTTTTCATTTGTTCATATTTGTTGTATTTTTTTTAAAGATTGTGTGATCATGTGACTTTTTATTCCTTTGGTTTGAATAGCACAAGTGTTATATTGTCGCAACATGTGATCGAGATTTGAAGCGGAGGATCCGCAAGGTGAACAAAAAATAAGATGATGCAATTGTCAGTTTTTTGTCTGTTCCTTTTTCAGTTGTGATATGAAGTTTTATGCTGTTGTGTTCTATAATCAGATTCCGGGAGTACCAATTATGTATATAACGCAACGCAAATATTCCATAGAAAGGATGCCTGAAGCAACCATTGGTGGAGGTAAGACTATAACACATATGGAGTAATAGATAATAGATGTTTTTCTTTCCCCATTCGTTTCTTGATTATCTATCATCTTATGCAGCTCCGAGAATGTGATGGGAATGATATCTGACCAGTCAATCTGGTTATGGCCTGCAAAACCTCTAAGTTATGATTGAGGCAATATAGCTCTATCTCTTGAACCTGATACGGTCCTTTATTGTAGCATTTTTGGTAGTGCCTTTTGTCTCAACAGCTTTGTATGGACTTGAATCGGCTTTAGTGTAATTGGGCACAATGCCATGTGTTGTTGGAGATGGTTACCTTTTCCTTGTGGATTTGTTATAAAGTTTTAAAATGCTGTTACTAAAAGTATACGATATTGATTTCAATGCCTTCGCTAATGTTCAATATTAATGCCTTACTACTCTTTCTCGTTAATTATTGAATATTGATTGACAAGAAATCGATTATATCTCTTATTCATTTGTGAGACTATATGATTGGGGTAGTGGTGGACCGATTCCGGTTCGGGCCTAGGCCTGGCTGGGCCTGGAGGGTTTTGGCCTTTGGGCAAGGCCCGGGAGGCTACCGGTTTCGGGCTGGGCCGTTTTGTGTGTGTGTGTGTGTGTGTGTGTGTGTTTTCTTATTTATTTCAACCTTTACAGTTTACCCCCCTCTCCCCAAATGGCCAAACCCCTCGGAATTACCCGGCCCAGCCCACCTAAACCCATCCCAAACCCAAAAAAAAACAAAAAAAAAGAGGCCCGAACGGGGTTTGAACCGGGCGGGCCGGTTTGTCTTTTTGGTGCAGCGGAACCACCCCCCGTACCCCCTTGGGCCGGGCCTAGGCCCGGAACAGGAACCGGTTTCCCGGGCCGGGTCAGTCCCGCACAGTAGCGGGCCGGTTCCTAGGCCGGTCGGACTGGATCGGGTCCATGACTAGATAGAGGTAATAAATTAATCTTGAAATCTTGTTCTCATCTAGGATAGTGATGGGCCCGGGCCTAGGCCCGGTCGGGCCTCGGTTTTTTTAAGGGAGCCCAGTACCGGCTCGTGCTATGGCCGATGCTGGTTTAGGCCGGGCCACCCGCCCGGGTCACGGGTCGGGCCACCCGCCGGGCTGGGTCAATTTCAATTTTTCTTTTTTGCTACTTATTCATTCAAGTGTTGTGTATTATAAACAAATTTCAAGTGCATTTATTTGAAATAGGAACTACATTTGAAATAGGAACTACATTTGAGAATTGAGAAAAATTACTATATGAAATTAAAAACAAATTACATATTGTAAAGCTATTTTTAATTTTAAAACAGCCTTTAAAAAATTAATTGTAAGTTGTAACCAATTAATTAATTTGAGAAGTGATACATATAAAAAATGAACGTATATTTATTTGAAATATGAATTACAAGTTTACAAATTACAATTGAGAATTGAGGGAAAGATTAAAACATGAAATACATTTTATAATAAATTGTAAAATACTAATCAATCGGAATCTCCGACATAGATAGAGCCACCATCGGTTGTTGAGTCATCCATGAAGTCTTGGGAGGGGGGGGGGGTGCTAATTTCTTGAGTTCTACGTGTGGCCTTCAACCAATCGTGGTAACATACAAGCGTCTCAAGAGAGTTTGCGCTCAATCTCGTTCTAGATACCGTTAGGACGTTGCCGGTCGAACTAAATTCTTGTTCCACGGCAACTGTTGAAACCGGCATTGATAGCACTTGCTTAGCCATCTTTGCTAAAATCGGGAACATTCTTTTTCCTTCCACTACTTTAGAACGCCAAAGTCATCATTTTCTTCAAAATCGACGACATATGATAAATACAAAGCAATTTCATTAACTGAGCTTTGTTCAGTAGCAGGAGTTGTTTTAGTTTTTTTCATATGATTGTCAAATGTAGATTTAAAAATTGATTTTCCTTTAGATGAAGAAGATGTTCGTGTCGGGGGAGGGGGCGCGTTGCCATATTGTGCATGAAACTCGTTAAATGAGGCATAAAATAATGTACTAACCTCGTTGTATTCTATTTGCGGATCTATGGTCTTGTCATCATACATTGAAAATGGACAAAAAAAAAGCAAGATAATAGAACTTGAAACATTCTTCCAAATTACCAAGTCTAAAACGAGGATCGAGAATAAATGTAATACCATAAATATGCGGAATATGTGCATGATATTTTAAAAACTTTTCCTTCATAAAATCACAAAAATATAGTTCGAATTAATTAGATATAATTCCAACTATATTAGTAGATATAACAATTGTATAAGTAATATATAATATAATGTTTATAGTATATAATATATAAGTATACTACTATAAGATGAGTAATACACTTATATTTAATACTTTAATATATAAAGTATATATTAAGTAGATGTATTATGTACTCCCTCCGGTTCTAAATAAACTTCACACTTTCCTTTTTGGGACGGTCCAAAATAAACTTCACACTTCCTTATTTCCTTATTTGGCAAAGAAATATACATCAAAACAGTGTTAAACAGTGCTAAATAGTGCCAAACAGTGTCTCAACAGTGCCAAACAGTGTCTCAACAGTGTCAAACAGTGTCTCAACAGTGTACTCTACAGTAAAGTCAACTTTATTTCCTTAATAACTGTGAAGTCAAACACTGAAGTTTAAAAAGAACCGGAGGGAGTATGTATTAAGTAGATATAAGTAGAGATTAAGTAGATAATTACCAAAAGTTATATAATATATGTATTTATAAGTACTTTAAGTAGATAATTAATATATAAGTAGATAAGAAATTGTTGGGATATATTATCTTGGCCTATTACTGTTCAGGAACCCAAGACTTTACGTAGCACGGAGCCCAATCAGTAAGGCCCATTTTAGCCTATCAGGCCTGTTTCGGCCTTTGGGCCCATTTTGGCCCACTTGGCCCATTAGGGTGGAGAGTACTTCCCATCCCCTTTCCTTATAAATATGGGGGTTTCCCTCCATAAGAAGGATCCCTCTTCCTTAGCTTATTCTTCTTCCCTCTCTCTAGCTAGCTTACAATACTCCATTAATGGGAGCTCAAATTGTACAATGTAATGGGGAGGAGAGTCCTAATGAGAATGAGAGAGCTTGGACATTAACCTAAAAAGTCCCGTGGTTTTCTCCCTTTCCGGGTTTCCACGTAAAAATAGTTTGTTCATACACATTTATACATATATTTACTATATCGTGTTGGATTAAACTCAATACTGGCGCCGTCTGTGGGAACCTGTCCAAAAAGTTGAACGTGTTCTTCAAAGATTCATACGAAATGGACTGATTTTCAACAAAAAAAAAATGGATACGAAGAATGGCTGATTTCAACAGCAACAAAAAAAAAATTCTACAGAAAAGATACGAAATCTGGAAAGCTTAAATCTGGACTTTTTCCAGACCTGATGTGAGGTCGCCGGAGCCACCGTCACCATCCCCGACCGCCGTGGAACCACACTTGAGTTCACCTGCAGCAGACGAAGCTCGCTGCAGCGCCCCAGATCTCACAACACCTGCAACGCAGTTGCTCATCGCTCGCCGCAGCTACCTCCACCGCATGAGTCGTCGCACCCCTGCTCGCCATCAGGGACCAACCGCAGGCTGTTCCTCCACCTGGTCCGAGGCCGTGAGAGCCTCCACCACTCGGTGACGCGGCCTGGGGTACCTGCCGGCTGGGAGTTCTTCGATTCCCGCCATTAATGGTGGTGTGGAGCTTAGGGGAGGTACCAGGGACTGGCCGCTCATACCGTCCTTGCTCCGCTGTGGCCACCATCTCGACCGGCAGGAAGTGGGCCGGCACGAACAAACTACGTCTGGGCTGGTAGAAAGGTGCTCCACATGTTGTTTCTAAAAAGATGTACGCCATGTAAATTGATATGGTCCCAGGCGGACCACGTCCGCAAGATCGAGAACAGTAATGAAAGGCCCTCTACGGCTTGGACCTGTATTTCAGCGGGAGTGGCTGAGTAATTGAGGACGGCTGACAAGCAGGGATGTTCAGAATTTTGACCAAGTCAAAATTGCAAAATGGGAACCAAATCTGGCTCTAGAATCCCTCCTGGCCGAAGCTTTATCTCCAAAGCTAAGTATATATACATACTCTTAAGTTGATGCATTAATAGTTAATTGTTTAAAATATTAGTATTGCTAGTATTTTTATCACCATTATTTATTAGGGAATTGAAACATCCCGGAATTAAATAATGCCGAGCGACGCTCAAGTGAGTAAAACTCTAGTGACAATTAATTTCACCGTCATTTAAATTTAATGACTGGTTGTTGTGGGCCTGTCGGCCCGCTCCCGATCGACTTTAATTAGCGAGCGGGGCATATCTGAATGGCCTTCGATAGGATAATATCATTGCTACTACCCGTACATCACTATTATTTATTAGGGATAAAAATGTCCCGAGATTAAATAATGCAGAGCGAAGCTCTAGTGATAATTAGTTCAGCCAACTTTTTTATTAAAAATTTAATTGTTGGGGGGTTTGATTAGCCCACTCTTGATCGGCTTTGATTAGCGATCTGAGTGTCTCCAGAGGGTGGTGTCCCGATGACGCGTTTTAATTTGAGGGTTGCACGTTAGTCCGCACGGCACTACGTGCCCGATCGACGATCGTACCCCAACACCATCTACGCCATTAGGCGCAAAGTGACTATTGCCAAACGTGGCCTATGGGGCCCGAGGGCAGTAAAGCACTCAACCTCGTTTTTCCGAGGGCAGTGCGACCAACTTGGGTCTGAGTTTGAAAACTCACAGACCGATGAGTATCTCTATGAGACGTTCGGCAGGCCACTAAATGGCCCTGCCGCAAGTTGTTACGTCCAGTAACCCCGCACGATGAGCCAGACTGAGGGTCACAGTGACCCATAGGCGAGTAATCACGGGTGTTAGAGAGAAAGCCACACAGATGGCTATGTATATATACTGTCGGGCCGTGCGGCCCGTTATCATGCTTATTGCGCAGCTGAAGCCACTCAACGCGCTCGAGCGAAATGATTAAAAGACGCTCGGCCCGAGTCTTGAAGACGTTTAGGGCCAGCTAAAAAGGGGACCACCACGGTTGAGAATCGTGGGACGAGCATCTCCGCCCCAGAGACCGATGGCCTAGGAAGAACACCTAGAGGCCGATGATCTAGAGGGAACTGCCACGGCGAAGAACCGTGAGACGATCATTCATCATTCAGAGGCCGAAGGCCTAGAGGAGACCGTCACGGCCGAGGGCCAACTGACACAATCATATCACGACCGGCCTCTCGGCACGACGTGATTATTATCTTTTGAAGACCGGCCTCATCCCCGCCCTCGCGGACGAGGACCGTTGCTTGATTTTCTCAGATCGGCCGCTCATTGCCGACACCATTATACCACGACCGGCCTCTCGGCTCGGCGTGCTTATCTTTTGAAGACCGGCCTCGTCCCCG